AACAACTCACCCTTATGTAACAGATAATACTCCCTACAACTGTACAACAACTCACCCTTATGAAACAGATAATACTCCCTACAACTGTACAACAACTCACCCTTATGAAACAGATAATACTCCCTACAACTGTACAACAACTCACCTTATGTAACAGATAATACTCCTACAACTGTACAACAACTCACCTTATACAATAATACTCCCTACAACTGTACAACAACTCACCCTTTATGTAACAGATAATACTCCCTACAACTGTACAACAACTCACCCTTATGAAACAGATAATACTCCCTATAACTGTACAACAACTCACGCTTATGTAACAGGTAATACTCCCTACAACTGTACAACAACTCACCCTTAGGTAACGGATAATACTCCCTACAACTGTACAACACCTCACGCTTATGTAACATAAAATACTCCCTACAACTGTACAACTCACCCTAATGTAACAGATAAGACTCCCTACAACTGACAACAACTCACCCTTATGTAACAGATAATACTCCCTACAACTGTACAACAACTCATTCTTATGTAACAGATAATACTCCCTACAACTGTACAACAACTCATCTTATGTAACAGATAATACTCCCTACAACTGTACAACAACTCACCCTTATGTAACAGATAATACTCCCTACAACTGTACAACAACTCACCCTTATGTAACAGATAATACTCCCTACAACTGTACAACAACTCACCTTTATGTAAGAGATAATACTCCTTACAACTGTACAACAACTCACCTTTATGTAACAGATAATACTCCTTACAACTGTACAACAACTCACCTTTATGTAACAGATAATACTCCCTACAACTATACAACAACTCACTCCATGGACTCTTGTATAAAGCCATGATTTTATATTGTATTACTTATCTTTTTATTTTAGTTTTACTGTACATTTACATTTATATAATTATGTCTTATCTGACACACTCGCTACTTACATAGAATTTATTATTACCGTTTATATTTTTGCTCTGTGTTATTATATTATATTGTGATGTGTGAGCTACTGTGTCCAAATAATTTCCCTTGTGGATCAATAAAGTTTGTCCAAGTCTAAATTTAAAAAAAAGCTCCAAATACACAAAATAATGTGTTTGGTGGCAGCTAATCCAAAGGCTGACGGTTGAATTCCTGCTACTAACAATGCATATAGTGTTTGCATTCTTGGGCAAAACAACCATACTCTTGACCTAAAAAAAAAACATTTCCTTGAAGATAAGAATTAGTACAGATTTCCATGGCAAAACTGGCAGCCAATCACAATACCGCAAGTTAAGTAAACAAAAACTCAATCATTTTTCTAGCCTCCACGACGTATTTTTACATTGGACAAACATATATACACACAACACTTGACTTGATGCTCCCCAAACCCAGGTGGCCCAATAGTGGTCCCCAGCTGCTGTCCCCAGAAACTGTAATTCATCATTTAGCTGTTCAAATTTACCCCTGGCCTGTGTGGATGTTTGCTACCAAATAACATAGTCTCTGAATGGTTATTAGCATCTGAATTGTGCGCTTCTTCTATAATGACACTTTGATACCCAACTACCTTCCAGTTGTATATTGAGTTTCCCATTCATCCCAAGCTGTATGGAAATCAGCTAATACAATACTACTTTGAAACACTGAGGTCTGACTGATACTTACAATGGCAATAAACAAAGGCCTTTTTTAACTTCTGGCAATTGTACCCTCTCTCTTTTGTTTTCCAAATCCATTTAAAAAGATAGAAAGGAGCACCTAAAATCTAAAATGGCCTAATTTGTCCTGAAAGTGCCTATATTATACGATTTTCTGTGGTGTAATGTTGTTTCCGAGTTGTGTTTTGTTTTTTTATTCACTCATTTAACATACAAGCTCTGCATATTTATTAGGCTGTGTTCTTCTCTCAAACAGAAAACACTCTGTTCAGCTTGTTATGGTAATACAAGAAGTGCTCCACTGCGTTTTTAAACTCCATACACGTTCACTAGAATCACTTGGATGATTTCAGTCCAGGAATTGCCAATCTCAACTGAACAAAAGATTAAATGTAGCTTGGAAACTACCACTACATGACATCACAAGGTGGACCGGAGCATTTTGAGATTTGGAGATCTAGACAAACTAATAATAAATGTGTGAATGAAACAAAACACAACTCCAGGTATGTTTTTGATGAGGTAACAACATTCTAACATGCTTAAAAGCTCACAAGAGTCCACTTTGTGTAATATAAGGCTTTAACTTTCAGTAAGTTTTGGATAATAAGTCTTTACGAAGTACACATCTTGACAAATTCAGATGTAAAAAGTCCAAAGAAGGAACACAAAAAGCGTGGACGAAATATTGGGGGCTGTAGCTAACCATGTCTGAGTGGATTCTGGGCAGTAGTGAGGAGGAGGGGGCACGTATTGTGATGCAAATACCTTCTTTTTGTCTACCGTTTGTGGCAGGAAATTTAATTAGCAGTTGTGTAGCGCTGATAGCAACAGGTGGAATGTGAAGAATGTATTTGATGATACACACGCACACACAAGCATAGACAGTCAATATTTCATTTCACAACTAGTTTCAACTTGTTGCCGCCACACGGGAGCCAATGGGAGACACTTTTTCTGCCGCTAGACAAGATTTGTTTCTCCATTTCCTAGCAACCGTGAGCGCACAATGATTTCCAAAGTGTGAGCGGGGAGAGAGAGGGGGAGAGGGAGAGGAGTCAGCCAGGCGTAATCGCAAAGACATAAAACATTCAACTTTCAGGACACTGCGGAGACAAACTTAATATAGAAGTGATTAGCTGGACGTTTAGTTTATCCAAAAAGAAGAGAAAGAACAACTGTTTGGAGGAAATAAAGGCAGACTGTGCAACTTTTCCAGTGGAAGCTCTGCCACCTGGTTGTCTCCAAGGAGATGTTATAGCTTTGTCTGGAATGTTAACACAGTAAGGCGTTAAAACGTATCCGTCTCCATGGAAACTGAGCAACACATGCAAAGCAATCTCTATGGAGACCAGAAAGGGAAGCCACCAGGCCAAGTTGCATACAGGTCAGATTTGTGGAGAGGCGCACCCATTTTTTAAGGTATTTTCTTTGTAATAAAAACGTCACTTAAATTTAATGCCAGAATATGGAACCAGGCAAATCAAAATAAATCTCCATGGAGACAAATATAAAAAAGTTAGGCATGTTTAAGATTCTAGGGGTCAAAATCTACATGTTTGTGTCATCGTTACTGTCCATTTATGAAAGTTTAATGTGACAAAACGCAAATTATCTTAACAAAAATATAAACTACTTGTTGACAGCTACAAAGTCATATCAGTCTTGACAGAGGAAATGAGCTAACCGTATAGATACTTTGCAGTGACATCACATTGGGGGGGGGCAGCTGTTACCATGGTGACGCAATGCACACATGCACACACACTGCCCAAACAGCACAAAATAATCTGAAAACAATACAAGTGTTCATGGTCCCGTTTAGGAGTTTGATTTTCAACAAAAAGGTGAGTGTGACTAACTGAAAAACTATTGGCTGTTAAAATGAGACATGTTTATCAGCGCAAATCAGTGCACTTGTTTATAGTTTCGGGTAAGTGAGTTCTTTACGGTCAGTTTGTGTTAGAATAAAGCCCAGATTAAAGGCCAACCTGATTAACAGAGATTCAGACAGGGCAGTGCCTACAGTTAGTATCACCCCTCCAGGCAAAAATTGATGACATCAGCTGGAAAGTATTACTAGTATGCTGTGTTTTTTTTTATTTTTAATTAAATGTTAAAATTGGAGCTTCTAACGGTGCAATGGACCATAAAACGTACAGAAAATTACAAATAAAAGCACTCTTAGTTCTCCTTTAAGATCAAACGTGCCCTAACAAAGCCAAGTATTTATGGAAATCACCAAACTGTAACGCTATCTGTACAAATGACACCATTAGTTTCCACTTAACAAGCCCCACAAGGCTTCCACCCTGTCTGCCTCTCTGCTCTGCCTCTTCCTGACATGCCTTTGACTGGCTCGAGTTATGGGGATAAACCATTTAAAGTGTGCAAGCGCCATCGCACAATAAAGAGCACAATAGGCTCAGACGGTTCCGCTAAACCAACAGGAGGTAAATGCGAAGCGACGCGAATTGGGCAGGCCGGCTAGCGCAACAAGTGATGGTCTGTGGTCTATATCTGTAGCCGGGTATTGAGCGACAACTTCTCCCCGGGGCAATAGAGGGAGTCATTATGATAGAGGCTAAATACAGCTAATCATGTGACCAAAAGCTCGGTCAGGTCACCGCTGTCAAAGAGGCCAGGGACTATTGACAGCTGGAGTCCACTAAACACCACACACTCGCTGCGTAGATCAAATTAATAGTAGTGCAAAGTAGCTGCTATAAAAAGGGTATTTCACAATGGTTAAGTATACCATTTAGACAATTTAGGCAGTGAAGTTCAAATGAAATAAAAGTAAACTGTAAATCCCTTCTTCAGCCTATCCAAAAATCACCAAAAAGTAAAGGTGCACTGTGTAAATTTTCTGGTTGCAGAGTCCATGTTCCACAAAATATCTAAAATGTATCTTTATCCAGGTGAAATTACAGATCAGATCCGTGAAGAGACTAATCAAATCTCAGCAAGAAAGAGCGTTTTAGTTGCACTTTTAAGCAATAGAACACCTGTAAATTAATAAATGTATACAGTAGAACATTCCAGGCAGAGCAACAACATCTCCATGGAAACCTGTGACGTCACCAGGCAACTAACAGGTCAGATCTGTGGAGACTAAGCTCCCATAATCCTTTTGTTTTGTTAGTACTTTTGAATAATAAAGACAGCAATAAAAGTAAACTGATGTAAGATTTAATGCCAATAACACCTCCAGAGAAATGAGAAAAGTTACACAGTGTGCCTTTTGAGTTGATAATGGAATAAGAACAGAACTATATGAATTGTGCTTCTAACTTTTTATCGGTTTTAACACAAAATCTTACTTTCAGATGAACAAAATCTTCCTTCTGAGAAACTTCACTTCCTGGCCAGCTTCTGCGAGCCAGCACTCCTAAAAAAAGAGAGGGAAGAAAAGATGAAAATAATGTGATTAACGGCGCTCACGTTCTAGCAGAATGATATTTCACCCCCTAGTCCTCCCTATCCCACTCCTTTTCCATGACTTGGGTGTATTTGTATATCAGGTTGCCATGTAAACATAACAGTGTCACGCTCGGACTGGGGGGTGGAGACTGTAGCACATGGAGAATCAGACTGAGCACTTGTTGTTTCAGTTCAGACAGATGAAAGAGGAGTTATAACTGAATTTTGCCTTTAAAAAAAAAAAAAAAAAAAAAAAGAAAGAAACTAAGAAATGAGTTTTGGCAGAAGTTACACAATGCATTAAATCTTATGTAAAAATAGTTCAAACAAGATCAGGGCCATTTTCCATTTTCTGTTACGGTTTGAGTTTCCACTGTTTCATGTAGCCTTCAGCAGTGGTTCTCAAAGCATGTCCACCACCGTACACACAAACTACTCTTCAGTTTTTGTGTTAACTTAATTAGAGTCAGTTATTAGTAGTAGTACTATTTTAGACCCGGTTATAGACCTGGTTTAGATCTAGTGCTAGACTAAATATTTTCTTGTGGTACTGGTGTGAAAAGTCTGAGAAGTACAAGTCTAGAGGTTTCATACTCTAATATAACTCGCATTAGAAAAAAGGACCCAGCTTCTGACAGCTACCTTTAAGATTCCATTGTAGAAAGAAAAACTGAAAAAAAAGAAAATGATTAGGTTTGAAAAGTGAACGCATTCAGTCTTTGCTTTCTGAACAGAATGGGTGCCTGCAAAAACGTCATTAAAAGCTAAATCGTGTAACTTTAGCGGTAGAGGGTTGGCCTAGAATGTTCCGCAGTATGGCATTAAAATCCACGGTGATGTTGAGCGGAGCAGGTGACACCACAGGGCCAAGTTACAGGTCACATCTACGGAGACTCATACACACTCTCAACAGGTCAATGCACTTTTCTTTTTTTTTTTTGGCTTTACCATTTTGTAATTGAAAAATGTGAGTTTAATGCCATATCGTGGGACATTCCAGGAAAAGCAATAACATATCCACAGAGAGAAACAAGCGACGGGCTCCACACTGGGAAAGTTACATTCTTAAGGTCACCAAACGTCCCTGTTTACTCGGGACAGTCCCAGTTTTGAGCCCTGCGTCCCCTGTCCCAGCAGATTCATCCAAAACCACTGATTTGTCCCAGTTTTATACAAGAAATATCACAAGTGTCCCTATTTTTGACCTGCTAACAGTAAAGAGAGGCATACATTATCAAAAATACAGAAAAGCGGTTTAAAAATGACCAAAAACTAAGAAAATGTGTCTATGCTGACTCACATTAGTGCCCAAGTGCGTAACAATTTTATTTAATTACGCACTCCTTTTACAATTTTGTTATTATCAACCAACCCAAACCAGAGATGTCCCAGTTTTTTTATTTTGAAAATCTGGTCACCCTTTACACGCTGCAGCTTTAAATTGAACCTCCAAAAGTGGTAGCCTACATTACAAACAAAACATCATTACCCAATTGCGGACAGAACTACAGTAGCCTAAATATTTCCATTTAGTGTCACATTACCAGAATAACAAGCACAGCACCATCTAGCTGCACACAACTCAGTCAACTAAAGTTAAAGACCACTTAAAGACAGTTTACATAATGATTATCCACACGTACGTTTAGAGCCCAAGTTCCGTAAAAAAATTGAAACGTTTTCCTTGTGCCAATGTTACAGAAAGGAGCAGCTGATCCCGTGCACGCTGCGGAGAAAGTAGTTCGCAGTATTCATTTACAGTCGGCTCGGGCTCATTCAATAACGTGGCTAAAGGCTAGTTAGCAGTGCGCCTACTTCCTTCCACCTTGCAACGCGAACGATCCACGAAGACGCGCCGTTACGATGCCAAATTTGACGGATAAATCTGCGTCGCACGGACTTGACGCAGGACTTGTAACTGCTGACACGCGTGGGCAACGTTAAGCAGTTAGCGTCGATGCAAGTTGTAGTTTTTTATCGTGCAATCGTGCAAGGGGGAAGAGCGTTCACGATCACACCTCGCGTCGCCAGAAAGCAACAAGTGTAAGTGGGATTGGGTGAAGCAAACTGAGATCGCGTACAATGCAAGAAACAACGTTAAGTAGACATTAAAACTATATTTGCAAAAAAAAAAGAAAAAAAAAGAAAACGGACTAATTTGTTGTTATAAGAATATAGCCATTTTTGGTTACGTTAAAATAGATAAACATCAGCAACAGTCAGTCAGCATCCTGGGAGGTAGGCTACTAAACCAGGACTAAACCAGGACCAAAGCAGAACTAAACCACGATTAGACCACAGTTTAACCAGGACTAAGCAAGACTGATCCTAGAGCAGGACCAGGACTAACCCAGAACTAAACCAGGACTAACCAGATCTAAACCAGGGTTCGCTAATTCATTTAAATGGTTCTCCTCTTCTTGGGGCGAATGGAAAGTTATGTGCGCCAGAAAGAACGCGTCTCCATCAGCAGCATTTCTCCCCCAAATTCACATAATTCTTGTGTTTTAATGCGATAAATAAATATTCACCTTTGTTTTGATAAAAGTTGTGCCTGGATCTTGCTCTTTTCTTTCCCACTCTCACTTCGCTCGGTGACTTCTTCCAGATGCTGCTGCTGCTGTTGCTGAGTGTTGCGCCGTTGGTAAGTAACTGTCTCCACGGCTACAGTCACTATGGCGCGGTGGGGTCTCGAGGCAACTGTTGCTACCCAAGAAGTGCTACGTCACCACGTCACGTCCCTCATATATTTTAAAAAGGCGGGGTTAAATGACACGCCTACAGTTGTGTTTCACTTTTGTGCCACCGTGAGGCGCTGTAACCTCGTGAGATAAACCAGGTGACTATCTCAAATTGTACTAAAGATGTTTTTATTTTTGTTCATTTTTTCCGGACTTATTACTGTATAACAAGAAAATTAAAATAATATAATCTTAGTATATGAGAAACACATGAAATAAATGACTAAAAAAGCTAATTATAACGATTGATTTAAAGGTGCATTGTGTAACTTTTCTATGGAGGGTCCATCATCTGCTTGTTTTTATGAACATCTTTGCTCTGTCTGGAATGTTCCACAGTATGACATTAAACAGATCTATCTTACATTTATTACAGGTGGTTTTATAACTCAAAAATACCTAGAAAAACATATATTCTGACTGTGAGCGGGGTCGCTTCTTCACAAATTTGACCTGTTACTTAGTCTGATTTGTCTGATTTTCATCTCAATGAAGAAAATCACAATGCACCTTTAAGGATATAATTTGACATAATTTTGGCAATTCTTTTTGTAGACCATCATTGACATGGTCGGGCAAGTTTGTGAAAAACTCTTGTGAAGCCCCAAAAAGTCTGTAAGTCTGGAAACTCAGATTCCTTGAATGACAGTTTGGCGTACCAGATCTTTTAGCCCTGCACACGCAGCCTTCCTCTTCAAATTTTTGGTTCCAAATCCAAATTTGTTTGCCAGTTGATGAAATTTTTCCAAATTTTGTATTGTGTGACTGTGTCATATTCCAAGAAGCAAAATGACTTCTCTTTGGGAGTGAAGGGTATGGTTTAACCTGAAAACAGAACAAAAATAAAACATTACATATAAAATCTTGATCTGTTTCTATACATTCTGTGAAAATGTTTAAGTTATTTCAACAAGAACTGCCAAAATTATTGGCCTGGGAAATTATTTTTGGGACATCCTATATATAAAAAAAAAAAAAAAAAACAAGGGGAGTGTGGACAGAGTGTGATGTTTTGGAGTCAATGAACTGAATGATGGTTTTGATAAAGAATGATTTTATGGTGCTGAGAGAACTGGGTGTGAATGAGGATACAGAATTGTTATGATGTTCTAGTTATTATAAAGACTTTCTCTTTATATGTCTGATTTTATGAACTATAACATCAACCTGCCCAGGGACGACAGCTGAAGATGAGCTCTAGAGCTACAACCTGGTACAATGCATCTCTCCTGATAAGGTTAATATATATTTTGCACTGTCCATGTCTCATTAAATAAATAAACTAAAACTAATGTGTATGTGTAAGATAAAAGATGGAGCTTTGACTCTGTTGTATTTACACATTTTGAACACTAGATGGCTGTAGGCATATATAGTTTGTGTGCTAGTATAATCTGAGATTCAATATTGCTCAAACTTCAAATATATTTTTGTAACTACACAGAAGAAAATACACAAATTTAGTGAGTGAAATGTCTTATGCAAGGCAAGCAGATTTTCAAAATTCTAAATTTGGACACATTCGGGCTTGGATGGTTGGTTTAAATAAAATTGTGAAAAAAGTGTGTAACATTGTGCATTCTCTTTTCAGTCATAATCTGAGGGACTTCAGTTGCTGCATTTTTTATTTATTTATTTTTTGCTTTATGGTCATTCGCAAACAAATGACAAGTTTTGCTCCTCTTTACTGTCGGCTGGGACCAGATTAATCAAAAATTGTGATAGTCCTGGTTTAGTCTTACTTTAGTCCTGATTTAGACCTATTTTAGATCAAATAGGTAAAAAATAGGGACACCTGGGACATTTCTTGTATAAAACTGAGACAAATCAGTGGTTTTGTATAAATCTGCTGGGACAGGAAACACAGGGCTCAAAACTTGGCTCTGTCCCGGGTATATAGGGATGTCTGGTCACCTTAGACGGGCAGGAAGTTCTGAAGTGCAATTTTCTCACATTATGTTAATCTATCAAATCCTCTGATTTTTACTTTTATTGATTGTAGTTTACTAAAATGTCTGCACCTCTCAAAACCTATTTCAGTAGCCTATAGATATTGTTGTATTCTGTGACTAAAAACATGACGATGGCAATAGGCATGTTTATTTTTCAGAGAGCAGGAGCAGAAGAGAGGAGAGCCCAGTATCCAGTATCTGTACAGTTTACTTTACAGTTTACAGTTACAGTTATGTCAGTCATTCATTTACGGTGAGTGCATTTTTACAATTTGTGAAAAGATTGTAAGAATATAATACCCCAGATTTGGTTGAGATTGCAGAACTTTTGGAGGATTTTGTTTCTGGTGGGTCATGTGAGTGCCGTGGGAAAAACACAACATGGGACTCTCAGTTTTGTCTTTCATTTTTACATAAACTGGTGTGTAATGTATAATTATTTCAGTTTTTATTGTTTTTAGTCTGATTGTTACTTTTATGAGAGTTTAATTGTGTTAATATGGCTTATATTGCAGTTTAACAACGCCTAAACAGTCCCGTCATATTATTTTGACCAAAACAAATTATTCCACCACCTTCTGTGCAAGTCTCTCAGGTCTGTCTGTTGTAGCTATCTGTCAGAGGTGGGGACTTGCAAGTTGTGACTTGGACTCTAGTCAGATTTGAGTCACTATTTTTAATATTTGAGGCTTGACTTGATAAAATGGATTAAGACTCGGGACTCATCTTGGAATTTGAAGGTCAATGATTTGGGACTTAACTCGGAATTGAGGCCTGTGACTTGAGGAGACTTGATGCTTCTCCTAAAAAAATATGTTTTTAGAAAATACTTTTCTCTTTACAGTTTATATATGTGGTGCTTATTTTTAAAGGAACAAACTGGAACATGTCTGTCCCACTTCTGTTCTCTTAGTTTGGACGAAACTGAAGTACTCAGAGATGGTGACATCAAATGTACTACACTAATATACAGTACAATACAGTAAAACAGAGGAAACTACATAGAACATTCTTTCTATTCTGACCATAATGATTCACACTAAATTTCAAAAATCTAAGCTATATTTGATACTTTGGTTTAAAGAAATGACTTGAAGCTCAAAGCAGACAATTTGGATTTCATGTGGACTTATGGGCCAGTGACTCGAGACTCGACTTGCCTGTCTTTGATTTGGGACTTGACTCGAACTTGAGGTCAAAGACTTGAGACTTACTTGAGACTTGCACAGCTTCGTCCTGTTGGTGACATTTTGAGGACTTAAGACAATTCATAAGAGATAATATTTTGTTTTTAATTGTTAATTGCTATGGCAACCATGATAGTTATTTCTCATCACTCTGAAACTCATGCTCAAATTAACTTTATTATCCCATATGAAATAATATGAATCTAAATCTGAGCCAGTGTGAGCAAATACAAAAAGATGTGTGTTTGAAGATATTTGACCTGATGAGTACTATCTCGTGGCCTGAATCATCAGCCGGTTTCATTTAGTAGAAACCGTCTGGCCTTGCAGCTTTAGGATTTGTTTCCTTGACGGTAGGCGGGTACTTTATATTAAGCTTTTCCCAAATCCTGTAGGAAGAGGTGCAATAATGTCTTTCCCCTTGATAAAATTCACCAAACATTCTCTTTGTTCTGGCTTTAAATCCTCAATCTCATGAATCGTTGCCAACACAGAATGTATGTCTTCGTCTACATCCATCTCAACCGCTTTGTTTACTGTTGTACTGTACCACAAAAGGGACACAAACAGGTGCTTGAGTTTGACATCATGGCTTCACGGCTTTTCACTGATTGGTTGGTGCCCCAACTTGCATTTCCGGGGTTCTTTTTTTTTAAATTTATTTTATTTTTTTATTGCAGACATATAACATCAAGACAAAAAAAAAAAACAATGTATATACAGTATAAGGTGCAGACTGGATCATTTCCGGGGTTTTTGCAAACCGTCAATAGGGTATTCTGATTCCTGACCTAGTCCATGGAGAGAAATAATATTGAGCGGAGGCACTAGGTGGTGCCAGCCTGGCTAACTATCTCGGCCAGGCTGCAAACTTTTTGGTCAGACCTCAAAATGACACCTGAAAAACATGTTAATCAGGTTTGTTGTGCCACTGGACTTAATTTCACTAAACTATAGCTACTTTTAATATAGCCTAAAAAATGGATTACACTTGTAGAGAAGGTTTCAGAGGTAATTGCTAAAAAGTTAATTTGGTCTTC